TAAACATTTAAACAGGCTAAAAATAGAGAACAGGAAAAGTCAGTTTTGTTATAGGTGTGAATTTTTTCACATGTGGCCTAAAAGACATGAACTTAAGTTTCACTTGTTAATTTTAACTTTATCTGGCAGAGGGAAGTGAAGACATGGCCAGTGGGTGGAGAAAAAGGAGTTTAGGGCTTAACGTCAGAAGGCTAGGTTGTGGCCCTGGAGCGCTTTGATCTTGTGCAAACCCCTTAACCCCTCTGGGTGAGGATCGTGTGTGTGTGTGTGTGTGTGTGTGTGTGTGTGTGTGTGTGTGTGTAGCATGAGGGATGTGCTTGAAGTGATCTTCGGATTACTTTCTGGTTTTAAAGTTAGTGATTCTGTGATTTGCATTCTTAAGGTTCTTGGGATATTAGTAAAGCTATCCATCTAGGCTGATGCAAAGTGAATATTTTCTTAGGTCAAATTGTAGTGTGGTTCGTTACAACTTTCTCCAAGGACAGAAGTCCTCTGCAAAGGCATACGAGTCAGCTCGCCCTCTCCTTTGCTCCATTTAGCAGTCACATGAATGCATGCAGACACACCTTTTAATTATTAGACAGTTCTAGGGCCAATTAAACGTGGGTTGAAATTGGCTTCCTAAAAGCAGCTTGCGGAGTGGGGTTTTTCTGTTACGATTCCCGAGGTCGTGGAGAATATAGTACCCATGCAGTCCACAGTAGCCTTCCATAGGATCCTCTCCTCCCACGATCAAGCCTTTTTTCAAACCTGTACCGTGCCCAGTTCCTTCGTAGGGCTTTCCTCTTACACCTGCGGGGCTGTCTGTGCTGGTGTGTGGGAGGAGGTGGACACGAGCAAGGCACCGTGTTCTGGGCCGTTCGGAGAGGCTCCGGCCTTTACAAGCAAGGCTTTGATTCTATTTTTGCTGAACTAGCTCAGCCACTTCCTGTGTTTGGCCGTGCATAGTGCCTCGCTTCACTGTGGCCACTTGAGCCCCGCGCGCTGCCGCAGCCAGTTAGGGAGACTATTTTAGGTCCCCTCACAATGGCCTTCTCATTTCCTTGGCGAAAATGAGCGAGTTGGGCTGGCAGTGGCCACTTGTTAGCCGTTGACAACTTTGACTTTGACTTCGGCGCCCCTCCCCCACCCGAAATCCCTAGCTCAGCAAATATTTGAACCTGCCCAAGTTAATCATGAAGCCGTGATCTTTATCTGCGAGACGTGCGAGCGCCGGGGCTTTCTCCCTCCCGCTGACGGCACCACCGGCATCCAGTGGCTGTGTCAATGGGGAGCGGGCAGTGAGCGGCGCTGCTGCTGCGGTCCCGGTCCTGTCCCGGCGTCCGTGTCGCGCGGCGCGAGCCCGAGGGTCCCGCGCCGCCTGCGCCGCCCCTGCGCACGGCCGGCTGGAGCGCTGCCGCGGAGCCGTCGCCTCGGGCCGAGGGGAGAGCGGGGGCGTCAGTTCTCCGGGTCGGAGACCCGCCCGGCCTCGGGAAACTGCAGACATGCATAACCTGCAAAGTAAGTTGTGCCTTTAACTTGCGCCCCCCTCACCGCTTCCCTGCTTTTGTTCTTGCGTGCCCTGTTCCCCTCCGCAGTTTGTCTTCGGGGTGTGTGAGTGAGACCAAGTGCTGTCTGGGGAGGGCAGATAAGAGATTAGCAGAGACACTCCCCCCTTTCCTCCTGGGGCACAGAGTGAGGAAAAGATGGGCTTTAGGCTGGAAACGGGGAAGGAGGTAATTACACCGTGCTTGGCTGGAAGTTGGTGCCCGGCCAGGCTCTGGAGAGACGTGGAAATTCACCTGTCTTGCTCCCCTCCTCCCCTGGTCGGTTTGCCACATGGGATCCAGCAGCAGGACTGGTTTGCACCAAGTGCCCAAAGACATGGGGTAGCCCTCTGGGCTGTTAGCCTGTCCACAGCTGCTGGCAGGACTCCTGGGGGAGGGAAAACACATTTTTATTAAAGTAAAACATTTTTTTCTGAACCTCAGCCCAGGACATATCCCTCCACCACTGAGACCATTTTTGTGCGTGCGATTTTGAGTGTAGGTATAGAAAAGTGGCCGTGGCCGTCATCCGGAGGCTGTACGTTGAATCTGCCTTCCTCCTCAATGGGAAAATAAATCGAGTTAGACAGGATTCAAGCAAAGAGTGCTGCTCAATGAAGTGTCTTGCCTTTGCTCTACTATTTTTTATGATTCTAAATTTGATAGACTAACAATAAATTTTAAGAGGTTCTGTGTTCCTTAAATTGTCACACAAATATGTGACATGCATAAGTACATTGAACACAAAGCCCACTATAGTTTTTTCAATCAACTACTATTTATTTGGGGGGTTCCCCCCCACCTCTTCATAATAATGTAAATATAAAGAGGTGGTTTTCACCGGGAATGTACATTAGACTCCAGTGAGGATGGCAAGACTGTATGCAGAATGGCTGTAGAGAACTAGAATGAATAGATTTATAGAGGAATTGATTTCTTTACATTAAATATTGCTAAGCAGAAATAATAGTCCCCAGGGTGAGGCTTTTGAGATGGAGGGAGGACGGGGGGAACCCAAAAGTGATTACATCACTATCCCTCAAGCAATTACTAGCACAGGAAGTTGGAAGATGGGTTTATCAGTGAGAAATAGTTTGCAAACATAACTCTACCTCTGCTCTGCCTTCTGATATATGGCCTCTTTCTTTTTGGAAGACATAACTTACCTGGACTAGTCTTGTTAGCCCATTAAGTGTTAGTACATTAAGTGTGTACTGATAAGAGGTACCTCTTCATTCCTGTTAAAATGCTTCATTGTTACTCCCTAGTGTCTAGCGTCAACTTTAGTATGTTTGGTAGAAGGAGGTTTTTCTTTCAGTTGTGCTTTCTAATGTGGTACGTTTGTAACCGTGTTTAAGTTCTGAGTTGTCAGTGAATTATGTAGGAATGAAATTAAATATCCAGAGTTCTTGATCCCTTCTGCTTTTAATATATACCAGAGGCATTTAAAGACTGTAAAATATACCTTAAATATACCATTTTGATGCATCTGTAAGATTTTTAAACCAAGGCATGACCAGGCTTTCCATAAACCCAGATGCACTAGGGAAAAAAAAAAGCTCCGGGCTGCAGCATATCAGCTTTTGTCAACCTGCCAACAGCGGAGCGTACCATGCTGCAAGGAGTAATAAAAAAGGAATTAGAGAACTCCGTGCTGGAGGAGAAGAGTCAAATTAAACACCTTTTTGAAACGATGAGCATGTATACATTGCAGTCCTCTGAAACGTGGGTTCTTCGTGAGGCTGGGATTGTGTTAAGAACGGATCTAGAAGAGAAATGATGGAGCAGGAGTGGTCTGGTGACATTTTTCTGACTTGATTGGCTGGGGTGTGTGATGTAATAGGTTACAGTGCAGCCCCTTATAGGTTTTAAAATGAATTCCAAGACACCATTACAAAGAAAGCCGGACTCTTTTCTTATAACTGAGCTCAGCCAAGGAAACTCTCGCACAAATGTACAACACTGTTTGGAATATGGAAGACCTGGATTTAGAATATGCTAAGACAGATATAAATTGTGGCACAGACTTGATGTTTTATATAGAAATGGATCCACCAGGTAATACTGCAGTATTCTTTTAGAAAGCTAGTTAATTTTGTGGATTTGCGGGGGGGGGGGGGGGGGGGGGGGTTGACAACTACTGTAAACCGATCCTCTTGAGGTTTCTAGTTTTTATGAATTTGTTCTAATTTAATAAAAATTGGTTTGATCATAGCTTGGACATTAAATTGTTCGCCTCTGGAAGCAAGCAGATCAGGCTGTCTGTGGTAAATGGGTTTCTTTCTTACTTGAATAGATATGAATTGAATTCCGGTTTTTCACTGATGTCTTTTGTTAATCGAGGTCCTTTGCTCTTTGGGCTGTATTGCTGTGTATCGTTCATACTGTTCCTTTAATTAAAATGATGTGTCCTTTGTGCTACTTTCCTCTTTTGACAGTGGATGGGAACAGTGGTACTTTGCAGTGATAACACTTGGTACTTTAGAAAGCATGTAAAATGAAGCAGTGATTACAACTCAGTTGTAGGTGACCTGCAACTATTCTAAATCAAACGCTGAGACTGCCTGCTCTTCTGTTGAGACACTATAATGAGAAAAGGAGTTGGCTTCTTCTTAGTTAGTCCTAGTCCTTATAAAATGTTCTTGATAGACTCCTGAAATACATTTTTGTGTAAACGACTGTCCTTTAAAACTTACAACTCAGAAGTCAGTTACAAATCCTAGCCTTATTTTGCTTCCCAAATTTTCTACCAGTATTAGCCCTGCTCCCAATTAAGAAATTCAGAAACACTGCAGTCTTTTATTTGTCACCAATAGGTATATGAATACTGATTTGACATTGAGGAAGAGGGATATGGTTTTTAATCAGTCTTGGCATCTGGAGCACAATATATCCAATAGAATATTAACATGAATGCTGAAGAGATTTAGGTCACAGATGAGTTTCTTAAAGTGGCTTTTGGCAGAAGAGTGCCTGAAATACTAAGATTAGAGAAACCCAATTCCTCCTCTTAAAACATATTGCTGTAGATGAGCTCTTTTCTTACAGCAACAGCATTTGTGGAGGACAGAAACCAAATTTGTCTTTTATAATTAAAGAGGAAATTAAAGGCAACCCATGTGATTCCTCCTGCTCATATGTTCACGGTTTCCTATTTTAGATTGATTTGATCAGGCCTGAAACTTTAATATAACTAGAGCCTAGAAGCAGAATGCCGGGACTCTGGTTTTACTCTGAAATACACTCACATGGCCGGCCCGGTTTATTTGTTAATCTGTAAGCTGTTCTCTTCTTTTTCACTTCCTTTTCTTTTGGATCCACACTCTGAGAGATGTCTTTAAGAAAACGATCGTGTTTCATGGAGTTGTGAATTACTGCTGTATTTCACAGTATTGTAAAGAAACTTAGTTCTCACTGCAACCTTCAACTGTAGTTGGGATCGCCAGCAACTTTTTGTTTCTCTTTAATCTACAGCGTTGCCTCCTAAACCACCCAAACCCACCACTGTAGCCAACAACGGTATGAATAACAATATGTCCTTACAAGATGCTGAATGGTACTGGGGCGATATCTCAAGGTAAGGCTACAAAAACCCTGGACTGTTCGTTCACTTGAGACAGAGTTCTGGTTTTAGAGAAAGAAATGCACCAGCTTGCTGAGTTCCATTTTTAGGATATCCTCCAACATAAGCATGAAGCATAGTTGGTCGTTTTCCAAAGAAGACCAGAGAAGTCCCTGAGTGCTGGGGCACCGTGGGTGCTGGATGCCACAGGAAATTAAATACTCGAGAAGTTTCATTATTGACAGTGAGGTCAGGAGAGCGCCAGGGTGAAGTGGCTCACGGCCTTGAGGGAGGTTCCAGAGTCACTTTCTGTAAGAATTAATGTTCGTATCTTGTCCAGATGAAAAATACATCTTTCTTCATACCAGTTTTTGGTGTGTTTTTTTTTTGTTTGTTTTGTTTTTTAAATAAAAGGGGAGGAAGAGTCCTCTTTGGGATCATGACTTTCTGAGCTCATTGGCCAGAGTGTTTAGAGAGACCAGTTTCGTTTTGTTTTGTTTTTTAGCTCCCAGTTTGTAATGAGATGAAATTTATTATGTTTCTATATAAACAATACATGCAGTCAGAAAACGCAATTAATGAATGTCAAACCGTAGGGGCGGGGAAGGGGGGATAGAGGATCTCCACATACTTGGTGATGCTTAGTTTTGCTGTGAAGCTCAGACTCTAAAAATGAAGCCTGTTTTAAAATCCTCAAGGTGAGCTTTGTCCTGTGTCCTTGTCATTTTAGGGAAGAAGTGAATGAAAAACTTCGAGATACAGCTGACGGGACCTTTTTGGTACGAGACGCATCTACTAAAATGCATGGGGATTACACTCTTACACTAAGGTGAGTCGGGGAACGTAGCCATGATGGAGGTGTGGAAGTAGACATTAGAACGCATTTCTAAGGAAGAGTGTAATGTTATTTTTATCATACTTTTATTGTAATGCTGTTTATTTTATTTACAGGAAAGGAGGAAATAACAAGTTAATCAAAATATTTCACCGAGATGGGAAATATGGCTTCTCTGACCCACTAACCTTCAACTCTGTGGTTGAACTAATAAACCACTACCGGAATGAGTCCCTAGCTCAGTATAATCCCAAACTGGACGTGAAATTACTTTATCCAGTATCCAAATACCAACAGGTATTCAAAATTGAAATGCTCACGTTACAGTATTTAGACAAGATACTTTCAAGTATTTAGAAAGCATTGTGAAGCAGGTGAATTGCATGTAATGGAATTTTAAGAACTTTATACCTGTGATCCCAAAATTGCAGTTTGAGAATGGCCGGATAATTGACCACGTAGCGGATCAACTGAGGTTCTTTCTCTTCCATCTCTTAATTCTTCCAGGATCAAGTTGTCAAAGAAGATAATATTGAAGCTGTAGGGAAAAAATTACATGAATATAACACTCAATTTCAAGAAAAAAGTCGGGAATATGATAGATTATATGAAGATTATACCCGTACTTCCCAGGTGAGTTTTTTGCCAAAAACAAGTGAAACTCTCAGAACTCTTAGTTACTAGAATCTAACATGTTTCACTTCCGTTTCGAAAAAAGAAAATAAAGTTGATCTTTAGCTAATGAACTGGGGGGAAAGATCATGTATTTGTGAATCATTGTGTAATATTCGTAGCATCACTAAACCTTTTAAATGAAGCTTGTAAGTGTCAGAATGAGAAGTTCTTGTGAATAATTGAAGAGGTTGCTGGGAGTTTTAAGTGGATTTGACATCGTGTCTTGAAGTTCCACAAACTTGTCTGACCTCCAAAATGGAGATTTAACTTTTCTATACCCGGTCATAAAAAAAAAAAAAAAGAAAGAAAGAAAAGAAAGATTGCAGTGCTTTCCTGGAGTGTTAATCTTCTTTAGGCTGTGATGTATCTAGGACCACCAGAGGGAGTAGAAGGCAACATGGATTCCTTCAATTGCTGAGAAAGGGGAATGGCTTTTAAAACGAAAACTATAGGAAATTGTCAGGCAGTGTACTTTCATAGACTGGGAAAATTCCCAAAGGAAACGTGTGCTTCTGTGATACTATTTGAATGGGTTTTATGAATCAGAGGCCTTCCTTGCTAACAGAGTCCTTACAAATGTCCCGGCCCTGTCTCACAATAACAAATTATCTATTCTGTGAAAGGTATGACATTGTCTTATTAAACATTGTGTTGTAGGAAATCCAAATGAAAAGAACAGCTATTGAAGCATTTAATGAAACCATAAAAATATTTGAAGAACAGTGCCAAAGCCAAGAACGGTACAGCAAAGAATACATAGAAAAATTTAAACGCGAAGGCAATGAGAAAGAAATACAAAGGTTGGTGAACCATGAGGGTCGTCCCTGTGCTCAAGATAATAACCCAAATCCTCCTGCTTTCGGTGCTTTGAATCCGTTTTTTAAAAGGACGGCACAGGAGAGGGAGACCATCACGGTGAAGCAGGTCGTGACTGGTGCCTTTCTCTTGCCTGTAGGATTATGCATAATTATGAAAAGTTGAAGTCTCGCATCAGCGAGATTGTGGACAGTAGACGACGACTGGAGGAAGACTTGAAGAAGCAGGCAGCTGAGTATCGGGAGATTGACAAACGCATGAACAGCATTAAACCAGACCTCATTCAGCTGAGAAAGACAAGAGACCAATACTTGATGTAGGTCATCCCGGAGGAACCCTGGGAGCGAAGGACCGGTGGTGGCAAAAATTAAGGATTCATTATTAATGCGTTTTCCTTTTATAACCGTCTTCCAGGTGGTTGACTCAGAAAGGTGTTCGGCAAAAGAAGCTGAACGAGTGGCTGGGCAACGAAAATACCGAAGAGTAAGTACTCCCCTCAGGTGGGAGGTGGCACGGGGGTTTTGTCCTGTTACGAGGACTCGTGACTTGCTTTGTTTGCAGACCAAGGGAGGAATCTTCCTGAGTTTGGACCATCTTCTATAAAGAATGTTTAAAAACAAAGGAAAGTTGAGTGAAGGAGGATGCCAAGCTAGTTTTTACCCACAGTGCCATTAAGTGACTCTGTGTTTATAAGGAAGGCCCTGAACCTCTGAAAAATTCCCCGGTGTGTTTTTGGAAGGGTCGGGAGGAAAAAAGGACACCGTTCTTTTCAGTGTATCTCTAGGGCTTAAGTCTGTGTTTTGTTTGAATTATCTGAAAACTGGCCCTCCTCCTGGTCCCTCGGTTTCCTGATCTGCACTGGACAAACAGGATTGTTGGATACCTTCCTCTCTGCGCAGCTGCCTCCGTGCAGTGCCGGACTTACAGAGAGGAAGAGGATTCCTTACTGGGGCTCTTTGTCCAGGGAGGTCACATTGAAGGCCACAGAAGCTGCTTGAGTCAGACCCACGGTGGCCGGCCTGGCGGGCTCGGTGGGAGAGGTGACACACGAGAGGGGCCTCCCCAGTGCTTCGTTTGCAACCCGTGTCTCCTGCCTCCTTAGCCAATATTCGCTGGTGGAGGATGATGAGGATTTGCCGCACCACGACGAGAAGACCTGGAACGTCGGCAGCAGCAACAGAAACAAGGCTGAAAACCTGCTCCGGGGAAAACGGGACGGCACCTTCCTGGTCCGGGAAAGCAGTAAACAGGGCTGCTACGCCTGCTCCGTGGTGTATGTATCTCCGGCAGCCCTTTCTCCTGTCGGACAGGAGAACAAGATGTAGTATTTGGCAAGTCTAGGCGGAAGCATAGAAACCTGCTGTCGAGTTCAGAGACTGGGGTTTGGGCCCCAGTCCCCCACCTAATAATCCCGAGAAGCCTAAATCTTTTCACCTTTACAATGGAGGTAGCAACACGGGTTTTTTTTTTTTACTTCCCAAGGCTAATAGCATTAGAATATGAGGGAATTCATGTGAGAGCTCCACCCACAGGTCAAGTCCATGGCTCAGCAGGCAGAGGGATGTCACTGGCCTGGAGATCGGTGCACGCGAGAGGAAAGGGAGCATCTTCTAGGAAGGAAAGATTCTGAAAATTGTATCCAAAGATCTCCCTCCATTTAAGCAGAAAAATGCTCCTGCAGGAAAGGAGGGAGAGGATTGTCCGATTAGTGCCTGTGCTAAGCGTAGAGCCCTGCTCGTACGGCAGCGCCGACAGTCACGGTAGGGACGCGCGTCCTCCTGTGCCTGATCTCATTTCTGAAAGCCACCCTGTCGCACGCATACCATCCTAAAGATGAGAAGACAGTGGCTCAGTGAGGCCAGGTTAGTGGCCCAAGTCCACAGCTACCCCGGGAGTGTTCCCTTCCTGGTCCGCAGGGGGTACATTTTCATGAGGACCCTTTTCTGGAAAACCCCGTTGAGTCACCTTGTTCCCTCTCTCTTCTGCAGGGTGGACGGCGAAGTGAAGCACTGTGTCATCAACAAAACGGCAACCGGCTACGGCTTTGCCGAGCCCTATAACTTGTACAGCTCCCTGAAGGAGCTGGTGCTACATTACCAACACACGTCCCTCGTGCAGCACAATGACTCCCTCAACGTCACACTAGCCTACCCGGTATATGCACAGCAGAGGCGATGAAGCACCTGTCCTCTGATCCTTCTCCTGGAGCTCAACCACCCCGAGGCCTCTGGAAAGCACAGGGCTCCTCTCCAGCCTGACCTGTAATTGAGCTGAGGAAACGCGGCCATCTGCCTTCAGATGGGACTCAAGCTTTCGACAAAAAAGTAGAGGGGAAGACACGCAGCCTAGCACTGTGCGAGGACCATACGTTTCTGGAGTCCTTGTCTTTTTTTTTTTTTCTTTTTTTGGTTTAATTTAAAGCCACAAGGACACACAACACAAAGAGAAAAAGAAATGCAAAAATCTCTGCGTGCAGGGACAAAGAGGCCTTTAACCATGGTGCTTGTTAATGCTTTCTGAAGCTTTACCAGCTCAAAGTTGGGACCTTGAAGACCAGAGGGTGGACGGGCTCGAGAGCCCTGGCCTGGGGACCCTAGAGCCGGGCTACTTCGGCCTGGGTGTGGGCTGTGCACGGTGGACCCAGACACCTCGCACTGTGGATTATTTCATTTTCTGACAAATGAACGGTATGTAGCAGAAAGGCACTTCGGCTCACCAGAGACGTTTGGCGAGAACGTCCGCTCATGCACGTTCGGAGGAAATTCAGGTGTAGCGGAGTCGTCAGCAGGTTTTTCGTTTAGACTTTAACAAAAACCACCCCAGCAACAGAAAAATGGAGCTTGGAAAAACGGGACTTTAAAAGAACATTCATTATATAAAATATGTACATAACCATGGATGACTAACTATCAAATAGATGGATTTGTATCAATACCAAATAGCTTCTGTTTTGTTTTCCTGAAGACTAAATTCACAGTGCTATGCAATTCTTAATTTTCATTGTTACTTCAGTTTTAAATGTACCTTCAGAATAAGCTTCCCCACCCCACTTTTTGTTGCCTGAAAATATTATTGTCCCTAATTTTTTTTGTTAATATTCATTTTGTGATTCTTTTTTTTTTTTTTAAAGAAGAAGTGTGTACAGGATGCCAGTAAAAAAACAAAAATGGCTTCAGAATTAAAACTATGAATTATTTTACAGTTTTTCTTGTACAGAGTACTTGGCTGTTAGCCCAAGGTTAAAAAGTTCCTAACAGATTTTTCTGGACTAAATGTTTTGTTGGGCAGTGCCTGATAAGCTTCAAAGCTGCTTTATTCAATAAAAAAAGAGAAAGATATATGAATATGACAAAGTATCGCTGAGTTCAACAATGTTGTTTCAAAACTCTTAAAATACGGTACCAGGTAATGTGTGCTTCGTTAAGAATTGTGAACTTCCTGAACCTAGGGAGGGGGGATGTAGCAAAGGGGTGTACAGGCCAGGGGAGGGCGGGCTAGGATGGTTTGCACTTTCTCATGATGACAGAGAAATGAGTAACTAACTTCTCCTTCACTCTTTTCCCACTTGATCTGCAAGTTCTTACCCATTAATTCCAAGTACAGACCTACCGGAACGCTAACGCCATGGAGCAGGTCAGAGCATCTAGTTCTTAGGAAGAAAGGGAGCCTCCCGGGGCAGTGTCCACCTTTGCTTGGAGCACTGTTTTCAAGGTATAATCGCTGCATTTAGACCACATGCCTCTTCAACGTTAGACTACCCGTGACAACCAGTAAACGTTCACTTTGGGAAAAGCATGATCTGAGGAAATATTTTGAGTCCACCCATGTGTTATTTTCCTAGCTTTCCATTCCATTGAGGTCATACAGCTTATAAACGAGAGCCTCACCGTTACCGCGCCGGGCGATGTCGAGCTCGTGAAAGTCACAGTCGCTTCAGGAGTCCCGACAGTGCTTCTGATTCATCACAGTCCTCGCGTGTGTTACACTGTGGGCAGAGGAAGAGGTTTTAGAGCATTCCTTCCAATTCTGGGCAAGAGGGAGAGGTCTCTCTCCCTGACTGACATATGCAAAATCCATTCTGTTCTGTGGCAACTGTGTGGTGGTCCCTCTCCGGGGAGGTTCAAGCGGGATCTTAAAATCCCAGTTCTCCTTTCCCACGAGCCGTCCAGCCACAGCTTGCTTTCCAACAGTGGGGAGGGTTTTTTGTTTTGGTTTTCCATGTTGTTCTTTTAAAAATTCCTCGGAAATAATCAGTCTAGCCGCTGACTCCATCAACTGTACAATGTATTTTTTTCTTCTTTACACAATGCTATTCATTCTCAAGAGCAATAGTCAGTCCTACGGCCAGAATGCAGCCCTTGAACTTGACTGTACTGATCGGACTGCCTCCCTCTCATCACACACCTGAGGATCCTCCCCGCCCCCCCCCCCCCGTTATAGTCTGTCAGTGTCAACTTTAAAAGCACCCTTCCCCTTCACAAGGAAGTCTAACGACTAATTAATAGTGGTTTATAAACTAGCATTTTGGTGGGGGTTTTTTTGAAAGCACATCCATGAATGCTGTTAGGTATGATTTTCCTTTAATATCTGAAATACAAGATCTAAGATGGAATGCTTCATTAAAAAGCAGCTTTGTTAATGTTTCTGGCTCCACACTCTCGCGAGATGGCATGGTAGGTAGGCACCTGCCCCATGTTTGCATTTCACTAACCTAAATGCAATAGGAAGGTTTCTCTTTGAACAGCAAAGGCGGGATGCATCGTTCCCTATTAAGGTGTAACTCACTAGGTCTGTGATGTTACCTCTCTGCCAAATGCCTTTTCCGTTGCTTGTAGCATTCCCACTACATTCGTCCTTATAGATGTTTGACCAGAAGGGCTTTTTGGGTTCAATCCGACAGTCTTCTAATAACACTGAGTGGCTCGTGAGTATGAATGGATACAGCAGAGGCACTCCTGATAACATGCTTTTATGCATGCATTGATTCTCCCCACCCACTGTAACATCCTAAAGATAAAAGCCAGACCCTAAGCTAGCTGCAGAGAGGCTGGGATAGGGCTGTACGAGTGGGAGCACTGGGCCCTGAAGACTACACACAGAAGAAAAATCAGAACCGTGTGAAAAGACAAAAAGCATGTGTTTGCAACATCTGACAAGTTCACGGCCCTTGATATATGTATATATGTATATGTGCATGGACTGTTTCCAGTACACCTTTCAGCCAAAACAGATCCACAGTCGTTGAGTTCAAGTACATAACGAGCAAATGTCTAGTACAGTTCTTGTGTATGTGTATGGGTGGCTTTTTTTCCTTTGAGGTTGCTTTGTTTTGTCTCAAAGAGGTGAAAATTGTTTGCAAGTGAAGTGAGAGGTTCATAATTCTTTGGCTTTTTTTTTCCTGCTTTTAAACGTTACTCCTTTGGGGGAGCTGGTCTGGATGACTCGCTTAACTTGGAAATCCTCATTTTTGCTGTATCAAGTCAAATGTGTTTATGTGAGCTGTCACTGTGGGGAATCAATTGCTTTGTCATATAGCTGGTTATGTACTAGTGACGTGTTTGGGAGTCCTACTGATGTTCCTTAATGGGAGAGAAACTCTGCTGGTTTAACACCTGTGCTTTTGCTATGCATGGTACCCAAGTAGTTGGAAAACAGACCCTGAAATCGGACTTCGGGGCCTTGTAAGAAAGGGGCAGTTTAAAGCACAATGCCTCACATGGGACAAAGTTTGAAAATACCAAATTCTTATTTTTTAAAAATCACGTTGTATAAAACATTAGTATTATGAGTAGCAAGGGAACAGAATTGGGTTCATTGGAAACACTATTCAACTTAAGGTTAAACTTGTCACCATGAGATAGCATTAGCTGCTCAGGATGCTGCTATTAAAAAAAAAAAAAAAATTTAAAAAAAAGCAAAACAAAAAAAAAACTCATTTATATGTGTGTATTTTTTAAAGCTACGATCTGTTCAATGTTTTTACAAATCTGTTTATATGACATTGTTAAAATAAAGTTGGTCTTTTGACGAGAGGGAGGATGTCATGTTCAGTTGTAATTTTGCCTTTACAAGGCAACTGGGGTTGGGGAGGGGGTGGGGTGAGTGTGCCTCCTTGACATTTTGTTCAAGCTATAGATTCAATGGAGCTATGTCTTGTTGTTTTAAGTTGCTTTGATGCATTGTATTAGGTCTTCAAACAGAATAAAGGTTGTTTTGAAACTGAAGTTATGGTTCAAGTTTCAGTGATCACCTGAGAAGTATTTCTAAATTGCTCTCCTGCTCTTCTGATTAACAAATGTCGCTGCTGTTCCCAGAGTTTTCCACTTCCGTTTTCATTCTGTCATCACATTTTCTCATTTTTGTCAAGTGAGGAAGACACTACAGCACAGGAGTGATAGGTTAGGGTTGTTGGCATAATTTCACTGTATTCTCAATGATGAAAAGAAGATAACCTCTAGGTGATGTGATATCAGTGCCAAGCACATTCTTGCTATAATGGCCATGGCGCCCCAATTCTTTCTCATCCACCATCCATCCCCCAACTTTCAGAATTGTTCTCTACAAACCATTTTGTTAAGGCTGCTGTTTCTGTCTCTATTCTACAGACTGCACTGTTCCCTGAACACCCACAGTACAGGGAAAGCGTGAGGCACTGTTCATCACACCCAAGTGTGTCACGGGGTGTGACGTGGGGCTTAGAGAGGGAGCGAAGCTACACTCTACATAGGTTTCTCTTTGTAGCATCTAGTGAATATGTACAAACCGTTCTTAATCTGCAATAACTTTCCTATTTGTTTTTATTGCTGAGTGAATTTACAGTGATTCTACTTTGCCTGTACATGGCACTCATTCACCATGTAGGCACAGCAAGGGTCCCAGACATGGAGGCATGGTCTAGTAATGGAAATGAGAAGGACACATAATGGTCATGGCAGCAATGACTAATGGAGTATGGCAGAACTCAAATTCCCTTCCTGCTTTCCCCGTGCTCAGTTCCGGATCACAGAGAACTATATTCCCAGGGTCTTTTGTCGCCTGGCATTTAGGTACTGAGTCTTCCGTGGCACTAACTCTTGCCAGACAAACCCTCCGTCCAAGGTTTGAGAATCCTGGGGCCGCTGGCTTCTCAGCTATAGCATCAGTGCCTCCTACCATTTTTAGTCTGGCCTAAGACTAAAGAAAGATAGCAGCTTCCTGCTGTTGGTAATCCTCAGGATTCTCTCACCCCCACCTGTCTGGTTTTTGAGCCCTTCCACCACATGAATAACCAATTCTCTTTGCAATTCTTTAATAGCTAGAATTTTTTTTTCTGACTGATCTTTGATTGATAAACCATCTAAGTTCCATTCAACACTTCATATGCATTATCTCCTCTAATCCTTTTACAATTATGAGTTTGAAGGCAATCTCTCCATTCTACAATCGGAAAGTGAAGTAGAGACGTTAAATGATTTACTCCGATCATGCAGCAATTAGAGCACAGAGTGGAACACTAAGTGGTGTGACTCAAGCCAAAGCTATTCGCCCCTATGCCGTAACAGCCTTCCGATGGGAAATGCTAGGAAGTTCAAAGTAAAGTTTACAGGTCACTCTTCCTGATGGGGAGCTAAAGATGTGGTTCTCCACTGGTGGACACTGCACAGGTGACTGATAACAAATGGCAGGAAATGCCTTAGGTTTGCTTTAGACCAGGGGTTCCTGACCAACAGCATGAGCATCAATACTTGGACAACTGTCCCAAGTGCAAATTCGAGATTCTAACCCTTGGACTACTAACTCAGAATAGGCCCAGCAACATTTTCCCACCAGTTCTCTGATTTAAAAAAAAAAAAAAAAATTGTTTTTCAATGTTTATTTTTGAGAGACAGAGATACCATGCAAGCAGGGGAGGGGCAGAGAGAGAGAGACACAGAATCCAAAGCAGGCTCCAGGCTCTGAGCTGTCAGCACAGAGTCCGACGTGGGGCTTGAACTCATGAACTGCAAGATGAAGACCTGAGCCAAAGTCGAGCACTTAACCGATTGAGCCACCCAGGTGCCCCAGTTCTGATTTCACTGCACACTAAAGTTTGAGAATCACTAGTTAACATCACCTGATTGTTGAAGTAGTACTACCAGTATTTTCATTAGAAGCCACTACTATTAATGAGTAACAGAAACATTATGATGTAATTTAATTTACATTCACTGCATAGAGTCTATACAGAAAATAGGCTCTCAGTTTAGGAGGTCTAGCCTTGTCTTAGTTCTGTCTTTAACCAGCTGTAGGAACTTGGCCAACTCAGTTCACCCGTCTAGGCCTCTAATTCCTTATCTGTAAAATGAAGTTGTGAGTCCAAATATGCTCTAGAAGGAGG